ACATGGGATCCAGTCTTAGTGGGTCAATTTCTCATATATGACATCTCTGCCATAACTCAGTGCTGTCGATGATCACATCATATATATACATATATATTAAATAAAGCATAAAAATAAGGAAAAAGCCAACCACACATAGGGGTATAAAATGTGCAGGACTAAGTATGGCTTACATTTTCCTGACGTAATAGAATGTAAATTATTAGTGGCTACACTTCAGAGTCAAGTTACAGTCAGTCAAGTTACATACCCACTGATCAACAGTAACTGCACTTGTGGGTCCCCTCAGCACACAGCAGATGGAAGGTCACACAGCCTTGCCTTTCTCTGTGAGCTCAGCTAAACTCATTTCTCCTTGCCTTTGTGACCACATATGTTCCAAGATATTTGGGAAGTCATCTCAAATAATCTAACACAACCAAGTCAGACTAAAGACTGACAAATTTAGCTGTAAAGCTGGATGAGACTTTTCCTCTACATATCTCCCAAATCCTTGCACGGTGACTCCCCTAACTGATACTGCTCTACTTCATGTACAGGAGATGGAGAGTTATCCTGGGAGCAGGCTGATGGAGATATCTTCCGGCAGCCAGCCAACAGGGAAGCTGTAAGTGTGACCTATGATTTAAGGACACATTTTCTGCCCATGCATGCCAGTACATTGGGGGGAAAAAGAGAGAAAAAGAAGAAAGAGGATGTTAACAGATCTGACAAGGTATAGAAATATCTACTGCAGCAAGCTCGTTAATAAACTTAACCTGAATTCATGAGTAAGTCTGAATTACAAACTGACATGAGCTCCCGTAGGCTCTGAATTTGGCCATCTGTATGTGCTCTATGAGAATAAAATTCCACAGCATTTTGTTTGCTATACAAGCAACACTTCAAAATCAAAATTACAAACTCTTATTTCCCAGTTGACATATATACGTGTGTATTTACTTTAGGGGCTTCACTGCCTCTGGCGTTAACAGTAACCACTAAAAACTTAGTCAAGAGAGGCTTTTTGTAACAGCACTTGGAGAGAACATGAAGAGCTTTTAAGCATTTTTAAGCACACTACCCAAATACATGAACCAACAGGTCTTTGGATTAGTGAGAAGAATCATGCCTCATAAAATATCTGCGTTAGTACACACTATCCCTTCATGCCCATGGGTATTTTGGAAAATAATTCTCTGAAAATAGCCAGCTCTTTTGCTATAGAAAACACACAGACTACCTTCCTCTGCAAATCAAATGAGATTTCCCAGTCTGCATGACAGATTGAAATAAGGTTCTGCTCAGTCTGTGTAAAGTTGGCTCGCCTGGCCCAGCACAAGCGTTCAGAACAGCTGCATGCAAACAAGAAGCAGCCCAAGCAGAAAGCAGTTTTGATGAGGAAAACTAGACAGGCTCACCTGGTCTTAAAGCAGACGTAAGTAAAGAAGGTGTCTAGCTCTGAATTCTGTTTATCATAAATTGAGTGAAATGGGGACTTCTGGGTTGTGATTCATCTCCTGAGATCTACAACAGGTCAGATGGATCACGTTCAAGAAGTACTTGATAAGGGACTTCAGATAATCAGTTTAGAGGTAGACACCTACACTGAATATACAGTCTGGTGAGGTGAGGTCCAACTGTGTATGTGTAGTTAACTTCATTGCCACGTTAAGCACCTGCAAAATCTGCTTGGCCTTCTTTTGTTTGGTGCCATTCCTTACACTTAAGGCCGGTTTGTTGATGGAGGCAACAATCATTGCCCATACTGAGTTTCTAGTACAGCCTCTTTCCTCATGCTCCCTGGAATGATACATTTACTTTCCTGCTCTCTTTCTGCCTCCAGAGACACTCTTACCACCGCTCCCACTATGAGCTGTCACCCAGCTCCACCAGGCAGGTAGTCAATGTTCCACGATTTCCAAGTGCCAGGAGTAACCGCGGAGTCCTACCAGATCCCCAGCAAGCATCAGGAACAATAGTACAGATTGTTATCAACAACAAGCACAAGCATGGACGAGGTAAAGATAAGTATTTTGTATGGTATTACTCTGGGTCAGGCATTTAACACCTACAAAAAAGTCTTCTCAAAATGTACAGCAGACTCTTGGAAATTCACTCAGACTCTTGGTATCAGGAGACCCAACGCAAATCAGAGGGTGAAAGCAACAGACTAGTGAGGATATGAAATAAGCTCTTGACTGAGCTCAGTTGTGCCTGCATTTCAGTCTGCATGGGCACAACATTATTGTGTTGCTTTCTGAATTGCTTCGTGGTATTGTACTACATAATTCAGAAAACACATGCTACTGTGACCAGCAAAGTGAGCTCTAAGTGCCTCAAAGGACACCATGATGCCCTTAGATTTGCTAAATGGTTCACACAGGGACTTGTCCAGTAGGAAATAGATGGTGGTTATGTTCTTTACACTGTCTCCTATTTTGTAACTTTACTAGCTGCAAACTGCATGTATTTAAACCACCCCACAAATCTCAGGTCGTAAAACTTTGCTGTAGAATTGGAAGTCTTCTGCCTCCAAGGCTTAGCAAATTATTCCAAAGAAAGAAAATATCATGACTTCCCCCACCTTAAGCTGGTTGTCTGAGATGCAGGGGGTCCTTTTCCTCCACCATGTCTAACAGTAGATGCAGAGCAGGTAATTAGCTGAGACTGGATGTCTGAGCTGTAACCAGGCAAAGTTAACCAAAGCAATGAATTCCTTAGTGCCTTCTGATAGTATATTACATTATGTGGGCAGCAGGACTTTGAGCCTATATGGCAGACCACACACAAACATGACTAAGACATTCCTGCTGCATTGAAGGACTGACGAAAATAGAGGGAAAATATCACTTGTCAGTTCATGGGACAGCAGGTGCTGTACAACCAAAAGGGCAGGATGCTCAGGTCCCACAGTGGGTGTATGTAAGCTAGCTGAGGTCTGCAGGAACAGGCCTAAGAAGCTATAAAATAAATAGCTGTAAAAGTACATGTTCAGAAAAGCAGTTATCCACAAACACCACTCAGCAGGCATTCAGAAACTACCCACAAAGAGTTAAAAGCCCCTGTATTAGGGCCAACTAATCTTTCAAGGTATTAACTAACAGAAGGAATGTTGGCCATAGGATCTTTATTATCCACCTGAACAACCATGAAAAAGCATTCAGATCATGCCAGTGTTTTATGCTGAATCTAGGAGTAGGAATCTCCACACAGTGCAATATCTCTGACATGTTATTCACACATAAAGACATCATCAAAGCTGTTTCTAACTGATTTGTTTCACCAAGTCAGAAGCATACAGATGAACAGCATATTTCTGAATGCAGTGTACTAACCACTACAACTTCATACATTCACTGCCTGGAGAGTGTCTGACTCTCTTGGTGGAAACCAGAATGCTCACCATGTGTTTTCCTTTGTTCTTCCCCAGTTAACAAGTAATGCATTAATTAGTGCGTATGCCCCTTGAGATACAACAAACTAAAAAATAAATACTTAGCAAATAAAATGTGATTGTATGGATACAGACATAATTCTGAATGAGAAGAACACAAAGAAAACACAGGGCACTTGGGAACTAGAAGTTATATGCCACATTTTATCTTCTTCTGAAGGCTTCATTTGCTCCCCCGGACTGTTCTGTGCTAAACAGATCCTTCTCTCATTTTCAGTAAACAGATAACACATTATTTGCTTTCATGTGAGAAACAAAACTGTTTTTCACCTCTAAAATAAAGCCGTGTCTTAAGGAGTTAAAAAGTAGCAAATTATAAACCAAATGATAACATAACCTCATGAAAGATAATACATTACAAAGAACACTCCCCATAAATCTCAGCAACTCAGCAAAGTAAAAGCCAGTTGATCACATCTGTTACCAGTTAGATGTAAATTTCAGATTACAGATAAAAATTAAATTGCTTTTGAAAGTTACAGGCAAAAAAGGAACATATTTTACAAATAAAAGCATTAATAAAAATGATGGCATATTAAAAGAATTGGAAATATTTGCAGCATACCCCAGCTTCACTTCAGTTGCCTTTAGAATTCAGGCAATGCCCTTTCTTTCACCTTGTTAGGATTAGTTTGCATTTTTCTTCGTGTTTATAAAATATTTAAAAAGAAAGAAGTAAGGTTTATAGGACAAATGCAAACATGGTGTAAAGTGATATAATCCCCATTAAATGCAGGGTGACCTGAACTGGCTTCTACCAGGTAGGAATTTTTCCACTCTCCTTTTGCCAGCTGTATTTCTCTGTCTCTCAGGGGCACAGATGAAGAAAATACTGTGAGATGCTTAGATGCTCTTGGAATGAAATCTCAGCCCCATACACATCCTTTCAAGTTAATGTTTTCTCGTGATTCCAAAGGCCAAATGTCCCTAGATACCTACAGACATACATATCCCCACAAACGGCATCAGACTTCTTTTTGTAACATTCCACTGCTTTTGCTCTGTGTTGTGTAGCTCAAGTCCTGTGTATTACAGGCCTAGGTGGCACCAATCTGTCCTATGGATAGTATGCTCTCCCTGCAAAAGCCACGTTCAGCTAATACTAGGAACAGCTGTTCAGATAACTTGTAGCAAATGTCCTGATTTGGCCCACTGCAGGTTCAGTACTAGAAGGCAGAGCCAATTTAGCAGGCTATGCCCTGTGTGTGGACTGAGATCAGCTGTAGGAAGGAGGAGTTAGTTTTGTAAGCTGGTCAATGATGCACAACTGAAATGCGTGCGCTGGAGGGGGGCTGCTCAAGTACTTGACTCAGCCACCTTCTCCACTGTCTTCAAAATAGTGGTGGACACTGGCATCGTGGGATTTGGAATCAAAGCCAATCTGCTCAGAAAAGAGTGATCACAGGCTCTGTCTCATTTTACGTGGCAAAACTCTGACTGAAGCAAACAACTAGTGAAGTGAGCCAGAGACACTGACGAATTAGATATGGAGACACTGCTTTAAACAAATGTGCAAGAATCAAATGAATGTTCACAGAAGAACAGCCAGTGAACGTACCTTTTCCAGTCGTACTTTTTCTTCCTTTTCTCTTCTTTTGTAGTTTGTGTTTCAAATGGCAAAACATACTCCCACGGTGAATCTTGGCATCCTAATCTCCGGGCCTTTGGAATTGTAGAGTGTGTGTTGTGTACCTGCAACATCACCAAACAAGAGTGTAAGAAAATTCATTGTCCAGAACAATACCCCTGCAAATACCCTCAGAAAGTGGAAGGAAAGTGCTGTAAAGTCTGTCCAGGTAAAAGAAAGAGTTGATGATAAACCACTTTTTTTCTGTGCATGTCTAGGATTCCAGTTACAGAATCTGATGAAAACAGCAAAGCAGTGCCCACGGTTCTGATTTATGTGCAGAGATATCCGTGTGAGACACACAGAGCTGCCTGCCTAGCCCTCCCATTAACTGTTGTTACTCAGATGAAGGGCTTGTTGCATGTGGCACGTGTTCTCATCAACTCCTGCCTTTCTCTGTACTGTTTGCATGACTTCCTGATTTCCAAACAGAATTTTACAGAAACATACAGTTCACCACTATCAGAAGACTCTTCCATTCTTTCCCCACTGCAGTACACACAGAACATTCAAATCATCCCGTCTTCTTTCTCCCATTTTGGTCCAACTTCCAACTAGCATCAGAATAATTCCAATTTCCACTTCTATGTCCTGTGACTTCTCCAGGCTGTCATGAGATAATGTGCCCTGAGCCTAGCCCAGGCTTGCACTGAACTATTGGCTGGCCACATCCCTGTGTGGCCCCTGCTGCTGATCAAACTGCAGAAGATGTAGGTTCTCCCCCTACCCTTTTCCTGAACAAAGCATTAACTCGGGTTTCTTCACTCTCTCCAACCACTGATTTTCATTATTGTTTAGTTACCTCTGAGACTTCCACTGTTATTTCAGATATGCTTGGAAAGTGGACAGTGGTTCACAAATCCTGAGGATTCTCACAGACCAGTATAGCTCAGTTCTTTATGAAATTCTTTATGGATTATAAATACAAATTTATCTCTTGCCACAAGAGGCAGGCAATGGGAACCTAGCAGAATATAACACTATTAAATGCCTATGGCTTAGCTGGAGATGGATTTCAAAGACTACACAAGTGAACATGTGATTTGGTTGAGATGATCCTTGTGGGCCCCTTCCAACCTGGGATATTCCATGACTCTGATTTTAAACTAAGCCTGCTTGGTCTAGTGCCACGTAATTTCTGGAAGACTTGTTTACAGCTGTAGAATGTGTTTTGGGCTTTTTTCTTAAACAGAAGAAGTGCCAAGTCAAAGCTTTGACAACAAAGATTACTTCTGTGGGAAAGAGACCTTTCCCGTCTATGAATCCATTTTCACAGAGGAAGGAGAAACCATCAGAAAAATTGCAGTAGAGACTGAAAAGTCACCACAAATAGAAATACACGTGTGGACAATCAGAAAAGGTGAGTTGAACAAGTTATATATTTTAAATTGTATAATCTCTCATTAAAATGCCACAGCAACTTAAATTGCAAGCATTTAGGGACTGCTGTTCTCTTAGCTATTTAGGATACCAGTCCTACAGCCATGGCCACTACTACGTTTTGCTCCACCAACATCATTAATGACACACACATTTCTAGTTCTGCAAACTCCTGACCTTTATTGTGAGCAAAACAACAAAACCATGTTGGGTGTCAGTAATACCATGTGTAATCTGTGACAGAGAAGGGAACAGTGGGTTTGAACCAGGTGCTTGCTTAGCTGGATCAGAAAGGTTTCCTTTGAAATTACTGTCTGTCCTGTCTTCCTTAGTGATACGTAACTGCATTCATGATGGCCTAGAATATTGACAACAAATGTATTAAGGATGAAAGCAGTATCTCTTATTAAGCCAACTGGTAAAATCAGAAGAAAATTCAAAAGCTTTCTGATTTGCATTACTGCAAATCCTCAACAGTTAGGACAGAAAAAATATTATCTTCAGCTCCTTAAAGAGCCTATCTACTTAATCCAATTTAAGCAAAAAGGATGCAGTCCCCTTAGGAAAACCCCATCTAGTGCAGCCCTTTCCACGGAAATGATCTCCAGAATGCACTATAAAGCACAAAGCCAAACCCCAACTGTGAGCAGAACAGAAGTCGCAGGAGGGCTGATGGTTAATAATTACTTTATGTGTTCAAGAAGCCACAAAGCCTTGTGATGACTTGTCAGTAATGTCTGCTAACTCATGGCAGGCAAAATGGCAGCTAACAACAAAATTGTACTGTTTTTGTCCAAGATACTGAGATTTTGGCTTCTGTTGTAGTTTTACATTCGCCCATGCTAAGAAAGGTTTTAGCTATGTCAGAAAAAAATCAGCTAATTCTCACACCCCTCTGCAACTCTCTGCAATCATAAATCCTATGTAGAGCAGCACCAGAGTAGCGAACAGACAGAATAGGCCGAAAGTCCACATTACTGGTAAGGATTATTTCACAGTGTAGCTCAAAACAGCAGTAATTCTACATAAAGACCGGGCAGCACCCCGGGCTTAGAGCAGTGTGCATGCTTCCAGTAACAGCCACTTCTTGTACCTTTGCTGAAGGGATTCTCCGTCATTTCTACATTGAGAAAATGTCCAAGAGGGAATTTGAAGAGCTTCCCTACTTCAAACAGATAACAAGGACAACCTCTAGTAAGTAAAATTCTGACATCTTCAGGCTTTCCTCCATCTACACAGCCTTGAAAAATACGCCATTTTACTCAATGCAGTCAAATGGCCTCATGTTCCTCTAGTATGTGGCTTTGTATAAAATCAAATATCCAAAATACAGCAATTTAAATGTGGGTACATACAGCATGCTGTGCTAGTCTCCTGTCATTCTGAGAAAACAAATTGGCTGTTTTCTGCTTATAATGCCATGAGTCTGAAATATGACTGATATCAGCACAACAGCACTATTTGACTTTATTTAAGCCCGTATACATACGTATGTTGTACTTGAAAGAAGCCTTTTCTATGTTCTTAGTAGTATTTTTATTATTAAAATTTGTCTTTTGAAAAGGTATGCAACTCATTTATCACTCTTGCTTCAATTTCTTTTTTGCATTTCATCCAGCTTGGGATATGATACCTAATTTGACAGTTTAATTAAGGTATAGGCATTTTTAGCTACTAGCTCTTCCGCACTACAAATTGTCTTTTTTCTTTTTTTGAAGTTCCAAGTAGGGAGGGAAGCATTTTGACCAGGAACAATCTATTCTTCATAATACAGGCTAAGTGAGAGGCAGACAGCTTTTCATCTTGAATATTTTCTAATTTGTTCCTTTCAGCCTTCTCTGCACTTGTCATTGTTATCTGTACTATCACATCCTAGTTAGCAGGACTGTGAGCAATTCTATTAACCTTAGCAAAACTATACTGGAATACTGTTATCTGACACAGGTTGTATAATAAGCAGGTAGCTAGAGTTCATATTGCATGAAATGCTGACTTGTAAATGCTTTCATTTACCATCACATTTAAATTTTTATATCACTGTCACAAATCAGGGGATCTGACTTCATAAATGGTTGAAACAAATAGTATTTTTTGACTAAAGAAAAGGATATTCAGGTTCTTGTTCATCATTTATAACAAAATTGTTTTTCATGGAACATGTTAAATGACTGTAAGATACTTTGAATATTTTCCATGGGAGGATTGGACATCCACTCTTTGACCACTGTGAATCAGTTTGTCTGGAGAATGCTTGTAAGTGACTCCAAAGTTCCCTATGCCCTTCCTAAGCGAGTGTCTTTCTCCTTTGTGTTTTTGTTTTCAGGCCAGTGGAAAATATTTAGCGAAGGAGAAGCTCAGATCAGCCAAATGTGTGAAAGCAGAGTGTGCAGGACTGAGCTCGAGGATTTGGTAAAGGTTTTGTACCTTGAGAAGTCTGAAAAGGGTCACTGTTAAGGGAGACAGCACTGGAGGGAGAAACACAAGAAAACTTATGAAAACTTGGATCTGCAGCTGGACTGCAGGCTTATTTTGCTTAAGTCAACAGTTGCCCTAAAAACCAAAACTATAATGCAGTAATTATTCACATCATGCACAGCAAATTTGCTGCTTTCTGTGTAGTGGTCTGTGTCAATCGTTCAAATATCTCCTCCAGAATTCTAGGAGGCTCTGTGTTACTGGTGGGGGAAGCAGAAAGAGAGACTGTACTTTCCCAGAGTTGCATTTCTTTACAAGTTAAAAAGAGAAAACAGAATGCTTTTATTATTTGGCAAGTTTTTCAAACTAATGAAAAGAAGGACACCTAATAAATGTGCAGGAGCTGTGGAGAGCATTATTTCCTGTGCCGAGCTCATACCATTTCTGGAGTTGAAATGGCTTGTGGATTTCTTTTTAAGTAGTGGAAGAAAAATACAAGTGCTACAGTACTTGTGTTGGAGACATAAAAAACAGATTTAAACTAACAAACTCCTAAGCAGCCTGCCTTTGGGATGATGTCTTGTAGCTGAACAAATGGAGTCCATAAACTGAACAGCAGGTGTTATAGTGGCAATCACTCTATTTTTGTAGCAACTTGAGCAAATGTTCACTTTTAAGTGGTTTTCACTGTTTTCACCACCCACTTCTCTAAAAAAATGTAGGTATTATCTCTCAATCACAGCCCTATTAACTTCATTCTTCTGGGCCTGATTAACACGTGATTTTGGCTAATAGACTGCCTTGTAAAGCGATGCTGAAGAAGGTGGTGAAGTACTTGCAGCACTTTCAGAATTCCTAGGGCACCTCCCACTTAATAACTCCTTCGTTACAACAGAGCTTAATTTATTTGTTCTGGTTTGTTACAAAGCTAATCTGCATTTTTTTTTGACGATGACTTCCCAATTCTCAAGCTTCAAGGAGAGATTTCCCCCATGACAAATACCAAACAGCTACAGCAAGCCTTTAGAACACAGTAGCCCTATGAAAACTCTTATCTTTGTGAAAAAGAATTTTGAGATACTCTGTTAAACTTAGTATAGCCCATCTACAGTGTTTAAGAAAGGTGGCTGTCATCTGCCAAGAAAAAAAAAAAAAAGCAGAAGGCTGTTATTTTGAAAAAATATTTTCTCTGAAGAGTCACCATAATGCTGCACTGCCCCGGGCTGCAGTGGTCAGTGAATTCCCAAGAAGCAAAAGACTCTGCCTGCTT